TTATTTATTTACATCTAAACAATTTCTTAAACAGGAGTTTAGTATATTTATTTACATCTAAACAATTTCTTAAACAGGAGTTTAGTATATTTATTTACATCTAAACAATTTCTTAAACAGGAGTTTAGTATATTTATTTACATCTAAACAATTTCTTAAACAGGAGTTTAGTATATTTATTTACATCTAAACAATTTCTTAAACAGGAGTTTAGTATATTTATTTCTTAAACATTATCGTTTAGTACATTGATTTACATCTAAACTTAATTTATTTTATATTATAAATTTAACTTTTTAATCATCAGAGCATAGTATATTGATTTTGGTTCTAAATGTAATTATATAATTATTAAAATTTAGTATATTTATTTATCTCAATCCTAATTTTTGTAAATTAGCCGTATCAGTTGAAGATTACAGCCAAAAACAATGTCAGTACCTCACTGATGAACTCATGTAATCTATAAGACTATCTAGTTTCTTAAACTAAACCTCGTAATTAAATTATAATTCAATTTATTAGTTTAATATAACCTCACTATGGATAAGTATGAAGATATCTATCTATCTGTTCATTCATCTGTACATCAATTTACATATCTCTGTATTGAATCGTATAAATCAGAATAGATTTTGCAATACATTAAAATTGTCATGTATATCATAATGACTTTTAAAGATGAAACGTTATGCTCAAAAAATGAATGCCATATCCAACAACAAAAATCGTTTCAAGATCCTTATATAAGAAACTGAAATATCTAAATCTTTATCAAAATATTATCTGAAAGCAAGTTAAAAATCAAAATACTATGAACCAATCTTCGAAGTTACATATGAACTAAACAGTGATGAACATTGTTCGTAGGTGATTCATACGAATGTGTAATTAATGAAAAACGATAAACATTGGGAATAAACATTTATTATACCGAACACGTTGTGTCAATAAGTCTGGTGGCACATTGTTACAAATAATAATTCAGGGTTATTTTGAATAAATTACAAGAACTACAAAATTCCCTTTTACCAGATAGCTAATACAAATAGGAAATATTTTGAGCAATACTGAGAAAAATAAGGATAAGTAGAAACATTTTATAGTAACAAATATTAGAAACCCACTCGCTTTCAAAACCTAACCCTGGTGTCAAATCTTACAAGCTTTTTTTAACTTACTTATCTAAGATGATTTAATATTTTCATTCATTATTTTCAAAGCCTAAACCTGGTGTCAAATCTTACAAGCTTTTTTAAACTTACTTATCTAAGATGATTTAATATTTTCACTAAAATAATTTTAAAAACCTAACCCTGGTGTCAAATCTTACAAGTTTTTTTTTAACTTACTTATCTAAGATGATTTAATATTTTCACTAATTATTTTCAAAACCTAACACTGGTGTGAAATCTTGCAAGCTTTTTTTAACTTACTTATTTAAGATGATTTAATATTTTCACTAATTATTTTCAAAACCTTACCCTGGTGTCAAATCTTACAAGCTTTTTTAACTTACTTATCTAAGATGATTTAATATTTTAATTAATTATTTCTGTTTATTCTTTCCGTCATCAATCAACTTTGCATCAAACACTAACCATACGAAAAAAATGAAACTACTTAGGAGGTCTTGTATAAGAGAATAAACCAATTCAAGTCATCTAAAAATGGAATGATCATATTTGAACGTTATATCCTAGATATATATATATACTAGAAAAAAAATATTAAATTTAAATGGTAAACCAAAACGAAATAATTTTAACAGTAGAAAATAACGTTGTTTTAATACTTCTCCTACCGTTTATATAAATCCTGCTCTACAGAAATCAATATTTATTGAACCTGCCATTATTTTCCCATTATTCGCTATGAATTAAAAGTGGAATACAGATCGTCAATGAGAAACTGATTGTTTCAAAAAGAGCTTTGACATAACTTTCCAGTACATTTTTTATGGCCGGGTTTTGTGGGCCAAACATTATTTTCACAGTGTTGAGTATCGAGGCCATTTCTGGTGTCAACCACTTCGTTACTTTAACTTGTGACATAATATTTTTTAAATAACTTTCATGAAACAGTACACACGTATCTTCCCAGCTTCCATAATTTAATTTTTATTCTGTACGAAGATGATATGGTCATATAATGAAACAATTTTTCTGTACCTAAGATGATATGGTCATATAATGAAACAATTTTTCTGTACCTAAGATGATATGGTCATATAATGAAACAATTTTTCTGTACCTAAGATGATATGGTCATATAATGAAACAACAAAACACATTATCGTTAGTGAAAAAATGTTAACATTATGGAATCTTCAAAGTCTCTTTGTCGATATTTTAAATACAATACAAGGTCAGTGAGCGTTGTTATGATACTAATAATATCGACTTAACATGATGAAAGATAAATAAGTGATAACTTTAAGTAGGGTTACGAGCGTTTTCTGAGTATGGAATTTTAAGTACAGTAATGTAAAAAAAACATAAAATAGAAGGTTCAACGCAATGAATTGAGGTATTATACTTATCAAAGCATTTACAGTCTAGTAATCTGAACATTTTCTCCAATGTATAAAAAGTAATAAGGAAGAACTCGGATGTCCATCTAGGAGATCATCAAATCGATTTTACATTTTTATAAAAACTTCATCTTTCAATTCCTAACTCTGACGTTTCTGTTTTTAAAAAAAACAGTTGGGATTTAATATATAATATTTCCTATTATTTCAAATTAAGTAAAATTAGAAACAACCGTTATATTTCTTTAAAATAATTGTATATAATGCAAATAAAAAAATATATATATTTTACAAAAGTTTCTAACTTTAAAAGACTAATGTTCCAAACCCAAAGTATTTTATTCTCTCAGTTCATATTATAATTAAGAAAACGATCAAAGTCACAATGATAAAAATCTTAGTTAGGCTTAAATTCACATAAAATCTACAGAGTGAAAATTGTTAGGACTAACAAGGATTATGTTTATATAAAATGTTAATTTGTGGCACACTTTTATTGTTGAAAAATCTGCCCTAGAAACTGTTTAAACACAAAGTTTATCTATTTCTATTTTTACTTATGGCTAAGACGCTTCCTTGGAGAATCACTTTCTTCCCGATAACTGCTCTTGGAACCCGGGTTGTAGATTTGCATTTTTACTTTCTGTCCCTCCTCTTCATCAGAACTCCCCTCAAAAGCAGTGTTTTTGAAACCTTCCATAGTTCCATTAGGCGTTGCTAAGATTCTGTCTAAACGACCTCGTTGTCGACTCGGTTGATTTGTGAATTGATTTCGAGCACCTAAAGTTTCCATTTGACCAGTTTTCTTCATCAAAGATGTCCGACGGTCAGCCAGAACTTTCAGAGTATCCTTTCGACGTTGGAATCCACTCAGCACTGGTGTTCCTAATAGAAAAAGTTCATAGACTGTGAAAAAATAGGACTTTGATTTAAAATCCTATTTGAAAAAAAAAATCATTCCATTACATATTAATAAACAAACTACTTGTCAGAAAAAAAATTAAAATTCATACATAATTTTATACCAGAAGAAAATCATATCATAATACTTTTAATTATCTCATGTCCCTGTGTGTCTTAGCTTCACGTTTGGTCCACTGCGGGGAATCGAATCCCAAATTTCAATGTTAGAAGTCCTTAAACGTACTACTGACACACCGAGGAGCTATTTATATTTCAGTTAGTAATCAAATAACGAAAATCTGTTGCGTGTAGTTAATCTTTTATTTAATTTAAAACTATTAACAATACTTAGTTATAATTAGTTCATTAATATCAATATTTATATTTAGCCCTACTCTGTCTTAATATTTTTTTTTCTATATGATAGTTGCAGAGTTCTGTGAACAAGAGTGTATATTTAGCCCTACTCTGTCTTAATATATTTTTTTCTATATGATAGTTGCAGAGTTCTGTGAACAAGAGTGTATATTTAGCCCTACTCTGTCTTAATATATTTTTTTTCTATATGATAGTTGCAGAGTTCTGTGAACAAGATTATTTTGAACACCTAGAATCGTTAGTTACTTATTCACGTGTAAAAATGTACACGTGCAGTATATGAGTATACAGGGTGAAAATTTGTTTCAGTTTATTGATACTTTTTAGAACATTTTTAACTGAATCGAGTGATGACAACCTTACCAATTTCATTCTCTGGTGAAAAATTCATAAAACGTTTTCTAAACGCCACATCCAAAGTTCCAACCCTTGTCTTCTGGTGACGTCTTTTCTCCAAATTATGAATAGTTTTTCGTCTAGCAAGTCGATCTCCAGTTTCATAATCTTCACTTTTCTCGTCATCTTCTAATCCTCTCAGTTTCTGGAGCTGTCGAGCTATCTGGATCGCATTTTTGTCAAAAAAGGCGTCTTCTGTCATATCTTCCACCTTCTTGTTAAAGCATGTCACTTCGATTGACGCCAAGATGTGTGACAAAGTACCAAACCGATGGAACAACATGGCCAAAAACTGGACAATCAGGATGATGGCGAAGAATGTTGCAAACACCAACCCAATGGGTTCTAGCTGCAAATATTCCTTGTCGATCCGGACCTCGCTAGTTTCCGGAATGTAAGTGATGTTAGTCTTCACTCCTAAGGGCCAATTAATGTGTAGTTGGTCCTTGTTAAGTTGAAGAAGGAAAACAATAAGGATGAAAAGAGCGTTGGACATTAGAAACCCAAAGACCACCTTGTTTCTCAGCTCTTTCAACTCGGACGCTACTCTTGCCTCGTGCTCCTTGTTCTGATCCAGTGGGTAGAGGTACTTCTCCACCATGTCCTTCCAGAACTGGATCTCAGGTCCGTTCAGGTAATCCACTTCTCCACGTTTCAGATCTTTGTCTTCAATCCAGTATGGATTTATGAGATCATCTCGTTCCACTTTAGGTTCTGATCAGTAAAGACAGGAAATTTTATTTTAAAAGTTGATGATTCTAGTAGAAACAGTTCGAATTAACATTTGTAGATTGGAACTATATTATCAAGTTAAATAATATAAATAACTATAGTAGCTATTCTAGTAGAAACAGTTCAATCTACAAATGTTAATTCTTCAAGCCCTTATATTATTTAACTTGATAATATAGTTCCATAACTATACTAGCTATTCTAGTAGAAACAGTTCAATCTACAAATGTTAATTCTTCAAACCCTTATATTATTCAACTTGATAATATAGTTCCATAGCTATAGTAGCTATTCTAGTAGAAACAGTTCAATCTACAAATGTTAATTCTTCAAACCCTTATATTATTCAACTTGATAATATAGTTCCATAACTATAGTAGCTAATATTTCATTCAAGCGTTTGTCTATAATATGCTTGTTTTATGTACATGTTTCAGGTTGTAAAGCTTACTTACTAATGGTTAATAATTAAAAATAGGTAATTAATACTTATTAGATACTATTTCATTACAATAATAACTTATTCAATTGAAACTAAGATAAATACCAGTGTTGTAGATTTCGCTGTAGTGCAAAGCTGCACATTGTGCTACATGCGCTATGTCTGCCGTGAGGATCGAACCTTGAATTATGGCATTAGAAGCCCTCGGGCTTATCTCTTAGTCTCGTGTTTGTTTGTTACTCAAGGGCTATCTGTTCTAGCCCTACCTAATGTTCAACTGACACACAAGAGGAAAGGCAGCCAGTCAACACCACCTATCGCCATTTTTGGCAACTCTTATTGGTTCAAATAGTGAAAATTCACTGTTACTCTTATAACCCACCATAGACTTCAAAGTGTGAAGCGCGATTTATATATATATATATATATATATACTGCTGTTGTTTG